ATATTAACCGATCACTGGAATAAATTTCAATTTTTTGTCGATTTCTAATTAGATTTGCAGTTAGTTTTATGTTAGTTGGGGGGGGGCATTGAGCACGAATATTCACTCTCTTTTGCTCTATCAGTTCCTGATTTTGATCAACACCCCCCCTCTTTCTTCGTATTCGTAAAAAAAAAAACCTTTTTTTTTCTTAATACTCGCTAAGTACTTTTTTCAGTTACACATTATGCAAGTATTATGCATTATCTCGATATTTGTACCTATTGTTATGATATTTTTATATTATGTATGCTTTTATATGTAACATCCTATTATTTTGTCATTTTTAACCCATTTTAATATGAGTAAATTAAGTTCAAAGCAACATAGATTTCTGGAATTTTCTCGAGTTATCCTGTTATTCTAGAATATTCTACAGCGACAACTAAAATATATAAAAGTGATATTTTTCGGAGTTAATCTGCCAATTCAATCAGACAGTTGATTAAGTTCAGGCAATAATATAATTTTGAATTGGTATAAGTTTTATTTGGAAAATTTGTTATTGTGATTTAATAATTGATTTAACTGGAGGTAATTTATATTGTACTTACTCAACCGTGTTTCCAGTTTAATTTCATAGATTGTAATACCTATTTCATAATAAGCTGTTGAATGATTTAGACTTTGCGTGCGCTTACTTAGACGACATCATAGTAAGGAGCAAAACCGTCGACGAACATCGAGAGCATCTCAAACCAAGTCAGAGTCTGCGTTGATTTTTCGACAGGGTTGAACTCGGTAATTAAGGACTACCATTACCCGTACCGAGTCCGGAGGAGATTTTTAACAAGCTAAATAGTGGAGTACCGACCATATAAATATGGTTGGTACTCTACTATGCAAATTAGGTGGATCCTACCACAACATAAGTCTGTATTAAAACCATATTTTTGTGTTTATAGTTAAGATTTCCTTAAATTTATGTAGATTAAGGGATTTCAGTACCTTTACAAATCAACAGAAAAATAAGCAATATATCACCAAGCACTTTTTTCTTTTTATGTGCCATGATGTTTCAGGACGTAGGCGATCATGGCTCTCCACCTCCTTCTATGCCATGCAACTCTTAACAAGTTCCTTCCCTGTGCAACCTCCACCAGCCCACGTTCTGTCATCCACTTGCTTAAGCCTGCCAGGTATATCATGCGTTGCTTTCCCATGACTCTCTTTCCCTCTAATCGACCTGTGAGTATTCCATTCTCCAGGCCCTCCTTCCTCATTATATGTCCCAGAAACTTCAGCTGCCTCTTCCTGATGTTAAGCCTCCTCCTAGTTTTCAACCTCCCTAAGACCTCATCGTTGCTCACACGCTCGGTCTATTATATCCTCAACATCCTTCTGTAGAACCACATCTCTGACGTCTCGAGTCTCGTCTTCATCTTTGAGGAAATCCTCCAACATTCGTTGCCGTAAAGAACCATGGATGACACGTAACTGGTCAGTATTATTTTCTTTGTTACCATTGGAACACTGTCGCGCAATATTCTGTCCAGCTTTTGGAATGCGTCCTTGGCCATTCCGATACATCTACGGAACTCAGTGTCGCACTTACCGTCCTCTCTCAAAACGCTTCCCAGATATTTAAACTTCCGAGTCTGCTTGATTCTAATGTTCCCGACTTGAAAATTGCACTTTGGGCTCATCCTTTTAATGATGACCATGCATTGTGTTTAATTGTAGTTTATGCTTAGTCCCTTCTTCCCACTCTCCTCGCTACGTTATGTCGGAGATTTTGTAATTTCTATTCTGTGTCTGCTATCAGTACTGTGTCATCTCCGTATCATATGGTGTTAAGATTGTGACCGGCAATACTATATCTCGGTAGGGTTCCGAATTCTCTCAGAATTGCCTCGCTTTATAGGTCGAACAGGTCGGGTGAGAAGACACATCCTTGCATTACGCCCCTCTCTATGTTTCTATATTCGTTGAACTCGTTCTGTATGCGCGTGTATACCGTTTGCTGCCAGTATAAGTTCTTGATTATTCTGATATCTTTCCCGAAGAATGTTAAAATGCCAAAACCATCCTGATTCCTTTTGTTTTATATGTGGAAATGATCCACTTCCATATCAACTGACTTTGTAAAAATATTTTGCCACATTGAAAGCTTTATATATTTTCTTTTAAATCATGTCTATCGTTAGAATGTAATTTTATTGTAGTTTGCATTGCTTGTATTCATGAAACTTGAAAAGAAATTAACCCATGACTTAATTTTTTCGTCTTAATGTGAAAAAAAAAATCTGGAAAATGGCACATAGGCTGTTGAGAAGAATCAACATCTGAGAGAACAAGAGTTGAAATTCGTTTTTAACGCAACCAAATTAACGAGAATCAAGCATTGGATATCATTCAATAAAATATTTGTTTCTCAGTGTAATTATTCCGGATTTTAATTTGTTCTTATGGTGTGAATAAAACTTAAGAGGACCATGATTAGTTTTAGATCACTATCAGTACAGTTTATCCATATATTGATAAAAAAAATGTATGTATGTTTTGTTTCTATTTCCTTAGAATGTACTATTTTATGCTAGATATTGTTTAGTTTATAAATGCTATGTGAATGCGTAACTGCAGGTTTTATTTAGATTTGAATATTTCAAAGTTTAAAAAAAGCTGTATTCTTGTTTTTTTTTAATCGCTTTCATTTTACTTTTTATTCATAACGGATCACCAATTTTATGCAACGCAGCTATATCCTTTTTTCAATTTGCTCGATGAACATAAATCGAGTGAAATATTGTAAGGAAATAAGAAAATACATAAATCCAGAGAAGGATAAATAGCAATGAGTCGAGGAATCTAATCCATCAAATTAAATCGTTACAAAAATATCTTAAAGAAATCTTCACCGAGTAAAAACTCTCCGACGAAAATAAATTGTAAGAACTCAATCAAAACAGTTAATATTTAATACGTATGTCTAACTATAAAACACAAATATCTCTAGACCGAGAAATAATCAAGCGGTTAAAATTGGGGAATGATAATATGCAGGGCTAGATAAAAAGATCATGTATAGTAAATTTAACAAAATATAGAATTTAATCATGGATGAAAAAGTATAAATAACAACGAGCTTTATTAAATGTGATGCCGAATGAAAAGAGCGATATCACGAAGCCTTTGACAAGTTATGCAAAATCAGTTTGCTACTCTGGAAGAATCTTCGCAATCATCAAATCCTTCCTATCAGGTAGGTTCTTGAACGTCCTTGTTAATCTCCAGTCTTCCGAATCCCATGGCATCCTCCAAAGATCGCTTCTCGGTCTAACACTGCTTTATATTAAGGATTTTTTTTTTTGCGAAGCCCATAGGATCAATAGAGGTCTACTCCAAAGATCGCTTCTCGGTCCTACCCTGTTTCTCCCTTATATTAACAATTTTACGAAGCACATACGTAGATCTTTAGTGAATATCTATGCAGATGATGCAACTGTGAATCTTCTGAAAATTTCACATTAACTAACAAGAAGGGTTTTGAACACCTTAACAGGAAAAACCACCTGAGCGACAATCTTTGACACATTAGGGAATAGATACATTACGAGGGCGATCGCCTTAGATATATCGAAGCATTAAATGCCGCTAAACAAACTCTCCAGTTACGGAATCTCTTGAAGAATTTTCTAAATTATCAAGTCCTTCCTAACAGGAAGGTCCATGAAGGACGTTGTTAATGGTCAGTCTTATGAATCCCATTGGATCAATGTAGGCATCTCTTAAAGCTCTCTCCTTGGATCAAACCTAATATGTAGGTTCAAACCTAATAGCCGTTTTCCGAGGCTGAATGTTTGGGGCACCAAGTGAGGATCGAACTCATTACTCAGTCGTAATTATCCTAGCGAGACAAGTTTGCTAAGCATTCCACCACCTCGATGTGCCCAGGTTCAAACCTAATATAAAGATATTAACGATATGTCCAAGAATATCCAGAGATCGCTACTAAATAAATATGCAAATGCTAACAAAGTTTATGGGTGCACCTAGAAAGATCTACCTGACCAGGGACGAGCAGCTAATCTCTTTTCTGACTTAAGTCTAACAGCACATTCAGGGACGGTGGCTTGTAACTGTCAACAGCTGAAAGATCCAGTTGGTAACATTGAATTACCACCGAACACACCTTGAATTCTCTCCAGTCAAGAAGAATAGTTGTCATATCAAATAAGATCAGTGATTTTAATGTCTATTTAAATACAGTTTCACCCGTGATTCGAACTCATATTTAAGAAACATCGCTAAATAAGATAGAAATATAGCGGCCTTCTTATCCCAACTCCAGAAAGTACCTGATGCCACCACCAGGCAATACTTATCTTTACAGAAATCAGATCAGATCAACTATTGATTATTGCTACCTATCTGAGGTGGAGCTGCCCAAATCTCTATTTCCAACGTTAACAGATATCAAAAACTTCAACACGACGATTATTTATTCTCCACCCTGTAAAATATTTTCACAGATGTAACGACGCAAGCCAATCACTATTCTGTTACATCTTAGTCCAAGCAGTTAAGATTTTTCAAGTAAAAACCGCCATAAAATGTAGAATGAGTCGAATTATTCTCATTAGCTTCGTATTCCACTGCTAATGTAGAGATAGAAAAGGCATGTATTTCCCTTTTCGTTGAAAGGGTCACGTGCGTCAGTGACGGCAGCGAATAGTTACTCTTGTTATCCCTTCTGGAAACATTACAAGAAATGAGCAACTTTTTTTTTACACACTGTTTGTTGTTGCATATATGTTATAATTTCTCTTCGTGGGACACGTGTATAAATTTATATATATTTTTGTGTACGACGTACCATTATAAAACTTTTATTTCTGTGAACAAAGCATGATTGTCATTTTTTTTCCATTCACCTATTCGGTTCCTCCCGTAAAGTATGGTGTCATTATATCACGGATATATTAAGGTCTATAATTAGAGCATAAGTTTTACTTCCATAGCGCTCTCTCTCTCTCTCTCTCTCTCTCTCTCTCTCTCTCTCTCTCTGATTAGTACGAAGTAATTTCAATTCGCACAGCTTCTTCAACAGAACTGCTGCATTGTGGAGAAACTCCGGAGACGATGCTTCCATGATCATTAGAATTAACGTCTCCGCTCTCTATCATATATATTGTCATAATCTGCACTTCTTACCTCATTCCTTGTCGTCGAGAAAACAATCTCATCCAGTAACTCTCTACTTTGGTTTTTGGATGTTGTAATGAGTGAACAATAGTGGCAAAAGAAAGCTAAAATCAGGAAGAGAAAATGAGTAAAAAAAAAACCTCTAAAAAGCAAGAATAAAATAAAAATGATCGGGTATAGAAATACATGTATTTACTTATTTACTAACGAGTGTTTCGTATGGCACATAACGCATGTGTAAAGTCAGATATAATTGGTTAATTTAGAAGTGGTATTTCTCCAAGTCCCAATAAACATATGTTGCATTCGGAAGCAAGACCAAATTCCTCGGATGAAACAAAGTGCTTTGAGAGAAAAATAAATTTAAAATTGAAATTGACTTAGGGCAATTCACGATGTCAAATGGTTTATTTATATGCAAAATCATTGCACTGGCGTCATCCGCAGGCTTCTTACAAGCAGAATAATTACGAATACTATTTTGGAATAATATTATTCATACTATAATTAATGCCGACATAAGGGGAGAATAGCGTAGATGGTAATGAAATCATGGGGATTGTGTTGAAGAATCAAGGTTATAGTGTTGACATGCATTTTCACATAAATTATTCTGTCGATTAATAGAATTCATCTACTTAGAATAAGATGGAAACTGTTGAAATTTCTTGGAGATCACATATGGCAAAAAGCTTTGAAAAAAACTGATACTCATATTACATATTGGAGACAAGAACGGATGACGGAAATGTCGAGCAAATTAGCAAATGTGATTATGAAAATGGATGACAAAATACCAACTGAGAATGATAGTCACGTGACAAACATTGCTTCATCCTACAAAGGTTGTGAATGTGGGGAAAACAGTGAAAAAGTGGTAAAGAGAAAATGTAAAAGTCGTTGGTAGAAATCCTTGTGATTTTGCGAAGACTAGCATTTACTATTATTTAAATAATCGATAGTACATATATTCCAGTCCACCGAATATCTCATCGTAAATTCTTATTTACAAAGGTAATTATATGGATTCCATATATATATATATATATATAAACAAATCAGAAAGAATGGAGGATTAATGTGTATTTGAAAACATCTGCTTGAATATTGCAGATTGAAAAAGATAAATCAATGAAGTCTAACTAAATAAAACACGGACCATTTTATTCCCAATATATTTTTTATTATATACAGTTTTGTATCAAAGTCAGTTATACACACACATACACACACACACACACCACACACACACACACACACACACATATATATATATATATATATATATATATATATATATATATATAAACAAACCAAATGATCAAAGAAAGTAAAAAATGCATCAAAACCAATATGGAAATAATAATAATAAAAAAAAAAAAACAATAAAAAAACAAGGAATCATAAAGAGAGATGAAAACAAATCAAAGACAAAAATACTACTTGAGCCGAAAACGGCAGTGGTGTAGGTATAAATGAGAAAGACAGACAAAATCCGAGACTTAACAACACTATATAAAATCTTCCAAATATCACGCAAACTTAAAACTATTGCCATCGTCAGGCATCTATCTATCTATCTATCTATCTATCTATCTATCTATATATATATATATATATATATATATATATATATCCACAGATAGATAGATAGATAGAGATCGAGAGAGAGATCGAGAGAGATTCTATGTACATTCAGTACAGAGTTTTTGATGAAAAATCTGTTCGTTTATTGTTTTGCAAATTTTCTATTGGTATATATATTCTTTCTGATTTAGTTGTTTTATTAAAAACACACACACACACACACACACACATATATATATATATTATGACGATTACTATATTATATATATATATATATATATATATATATATATATATATAATGTAAAAGTAATGATGTTGTTCACTGAAATATATGTTGAATCGGTTTTTGCCTAAATAAGGCCTACAGTTCAATTTATGATTTATTCACTGTACATTTCACCAGTGTTTTGTTGTCTTAATCTTAAAAAATATTTTACAGTTTATGATACTGCACACTTAATCACTCTGCCCCCACCTGTCTTTATAAATCTGTTTTGCACTTACATCCCTGTACTAAATCATAGAATATCATTATGCATCCCATCACCATCCTTATCAAAACGATGTTTTTTTTTTTTAAAGAATTAGATTTCCGTTTTTAATGTGCCTATTTCTGTTTATTTTTTGTTTAATATATTTGTTCTACTGGCGTTTTTAGCTTACAATATTCAATATAGATTTTTTTATTTTTTTGTACCTCGGAATTTAGTTTATACATATTCTATTCACTTTTATAGTTCTCTTATTATTTCTAGAAGATTTTCGCATTTTTCTATGCTATGAGGATTTTCATGATCTTCCACTAAACGTCATTCGTTATTGACCAGGTTTTATTGACTTTTGAAAGAAATAAATCTCTATTTCCAAAGATCTATGTTAAAAGATAAATTTCTAAACAGGGTATTTATGGTAAATTCATGAATGGCATTTCTGTTAATGGCTATGCAATATATGACTTTGTGATAACGAAGCCCATTGAACATCTTCAATTGCTTCTAAGCACTAATATGAATTGACTTTGTTCCATCATTGGTAGGTGTCAAGGTAAACAATAGCGGTAAAAGCTTTATAACGAGACTATCTTGGCACCTATGATAATTATGGCAAATGACTGACATACTTACTCGTTCATATAACTATAAACTATTTTACTTTAATGGCGACATGATAAACCTAAGAGAAAACATGGGCAAATGATATGTATTTGCCAAGGGCATAATGAATGAAAGCGATATAAATATTTGGTTAACATATTTCTTTTTCTCGAATGACAGTTATGATGCTTTGCCCATTTTATTTTCATTTTTATTCATTGATATTCAAGATAAACTCATTAACAATATGTGTCATATTAACATAAAAGGACGAAAATTATGTGTGATCATTTAATTCCCAGAATAATCGCAATGTATCGCTAGAGGAATGAGTTAGGTAAACATTTGTAACAGAACATGTCAGGACATGTTTCAAATTTTCTTCAAAGCGGAAGAGATGAAATAATTGTTACCGAGTAGTAGAGGAATTTGTACGTGGTCATGTTATAATTTGGGGGTGAAATATGTGAAATGAATCTAGGGAATTGAGTTAACATCAAGCTTGGTATAAATGCTAGTGAAGATCTAGCCCTATTACAAATGCCTTACTGTGAACATGTTGTTAAGAAATTGAGTGATTTTGAGTAAAATTGGTAGTTCAATGAAGATTAAACAGGAATTGGTCAGCAAAGGACATATAGATATATGGACATATTGTAAACATTCGTAGGCTCAGATCGAGGGTTCTTTATGTGAATGATAGCAGAATAGCCGGTTATGAATGGATGAAACATGCTATAGGTTCTATCAAGTGGATTTGTGAATGAAAGAGATCATGTGTCAGAAATTCCTGAGATGCTGCCTAAGAAATTCATTAATAGATCGTGCATCCAACACATCCAATAGGCTCTTATCTCTGACAGAATGACGATTAGCTGACGATGTCACTGATCTACATTACCGAAATATATCCCGGAATACAGGTGCCAAGAACATTTCCAGGAATGGCAATATCGAAGCGAATAACTTCATAAGGCGGGGGGCGTGTTTAGAAGGCGACAGAAATCAATAATGACTTGGTGGGTAACACTTACTTTCCGAGAATCATTGCAGAAATGTATTGAGAAATTGCTTAACCTAATTTCTTTATCGTGTCCATAAAATTAATTCTCTGATTGACCTGGACTCTCAAGGAACCTTTAGTGTGACTCATATCAAGTAAGATGTTTTTGTAGAAACGTAGTAAATAACCCTGATTTAGAGCAGCAACAAGTGATGATTTTAACGATAAAGAGATTTTATTTTGAGATTAAAAATGACGTATTTTCACTAACTTGGTTCAAATCCATGTCGAGTTTACTGATGTCCATCTCATAGTAACGACCAATTGTAAAGGCATGAAACTGTTCCTCCCTGCTCTGCGTTTCTCTGTTGTCGTCAGTTATTTTCAACATCCGAAAATGTTTGAGGGGAAAGAGAATAATTGATTGAAGAGTGGGAAAACTGCTCCACCTTAGTTCGTAAAACAGGGTTTTCAATTTTTATCAGAGCGTTATCAGATAGTTTGCAGCTTTTGATGTTTATAAAGAATTTATTTTTTTTTTTATTAATGATGACATATACAGTTACGACATTATGTCGAGAAGACATTCTCTCATTTCTGCTCATATTGGCCTATCAAATCCGTTCGATATCGTTTTGATGTCATAGAACGGTTTCATGCCTGACTATAATATTTAAATATCGTGTTTACAAGTCAACGATAAAGATATAAAAGTAGAAAAAAATTCTCGATGATGGTTGTGAATGCATGCAGACTAATCATCTACTTTACAGTTTAGTAGGATATGTAATTAATACTTATATAATAGCAAAGATCAAATTTGCAGAAAATTAAACGGAGTATCCTATAAGAACAGATCTAACACTGTCTTCTCATTTTCTTCATATTTGTTTGTTGAGAAACAGCCAAGTTTCCTCATTTACTCATAACACAATAATCGCTTGAAAGAAGCAACTACTTTTCCTGCTTAACATCTGTCTATTGTTTTGACAAAAGGAGTTTAATTTAATAAACAGGAGTTTAATTCAATAATTTTGAAAGTCCTCGACCAATAAACCTTAGTCCTCCTTCATCAACCCTTCCTCTTCTTCTTCTTCTTCTTCTTCTTCTTCTTCTTCTTCTTTCATTATTCTCTCTATTTCTCATTAGCATATTTTACCTATTAATATGACCTGTTTTGCCATTTCCTCCATTATTCCTGCTCCTAGGTTGGAATATTTTCAGGATCATTCAAATATATTCTTTGGGGAAAAACAATTGGAAAAATAAACGCTAATGACGAATCTATTCTGCCGCATCCCTCGTAAGACTGTAGCTGTTCACAAAAAAGAAGAAGCGATTTTTGCACTTTTCGATTTAACTGTCGGTTTCGTCTGAGTCTATCAATCAAAAATTGAAATGGAACTAAGAAACGAATCCTATATTCAACGTCATACTCCCTTTCATTTTAATATAACTATTATTATTATTATTATTATTATTAGTCATAGATTCTATAGGTTCTATATATTCACACATTGAAATGTTTATGTCATGTCTAGTTCTTATTAATGTAGTCTGGACATCATCATTTTTATTATTATTATTATTATTATTATTATTATTATTATTATTATTATCATCATCATCATCAATGTTAAATGTGGTTCTATATTTTAGCACACTGATGTTTATGTCATGACTGATTCTTGTTAATGCAATTTGAACATCACCATTATTATTAACATTATTATCATTATTATTGTTATTAGTGTTGTTGTTGTTATTATTATTATTATTATTATTGTTGTTGTTGTTGTTGTTGTTTTTGTTTTATTTCCTTTGATTTCTGGTGTGTACTCATTTCTTTCCGGATCCCGCCCAGAGACCTAATGTTAGAAATGGCATCATGACATTTTCCACTGAGTGAAAAAAAAAAAAGGAAAAGAAAAAAAAAATTTACATAGATAAAGCACTTCGTAAGGTGTGGGTGTATTAGTGAGAACATTTTTTTGTTTTTCTTTAAGGCGCGAACTACAAGGAATTCCTTCAATGATTAATAGTAATAATAATATTAATAATAATAATAATAATTGTTATTATTATTATTATTATTATTATTATTATTCGGGTTAATAACATAAACCGAGCGTGAAGTAAATTTGTAAGCTTATCAATTTTGTTTACGTAAGTTCAGATGTGAAGATATACATAACTTTGTTTCTATAATCTTTTAGGCTGATGCTAAGTAGTTGATCAGTTCTATACGTTTCAATTTTGTAATCTTTATTAAACATAGACTACCAGGAATCTTGTTAAGTTGCTTATCAGCAACGTAACAAGATTCCAACCTAAGCCTTCAATTAATATAGATATGGCAGCAAATTTAAGGCACACTATTTATTTCTTCTTCTTCTTCTTCTTCTTCTTCTTCTTCTTCTTCTTCTTCTTCTTCTTCTTCTTCTTGTGCCGTATCCCTTCTGGACGTTGGCGATCATTGCTCTCTTCAAGTTCCTGTCTTTGTAGCTCTTAAGAAATGTTGCCATTCTCTTATATCTTCTAAAGCCTCTTCTCTTATTCATTTCCTCCAGCCAAGATGGTTACGTTTTGTTCTCTTTTCACTCTCTTGCCATCCATTTGTTCTACCTGTATCATATTCTTGATGAACTTTTTTCTCATTATGTCACATAGAAATTTCAAATGTCGCTTTCTGATGTTAAATATCTTCTTTCCGTTTTCCCTTAAACTTAGCCATTGCTCACACGTTCTGTTCATAATATTCTCAGCAGCCTTCTGTAGAGTCACATAAATGTTACTTCAAACCTCTTCTTCATCTGTGAAGTGAATGTTAAGTATTCACTGCCATACAGGAGTACTGATATTGCGTAATCTATCATAACTTTTATCATTAATAATTCTAATAATAATAAGAAAGATCTGCCTTCTCATAATTATGACATCAGATAAAATAAAGGATTTTCATCTAATGACGATGCTATACCACCGAGATAGCTAATAATCATAGTAATAATAATAATAATAATAATAATAATAATTATTATTATTATTATTTGTGTATTAATTTTTCCAGATTTTTATCCAGTAGAGCCGGGTTCAAACAATATAGACCCTATTGGAGAATTGTCATTTAATTGATAGCACTGTTTTATTTGTATATGAAATGTTCCTAGTAGAACGACATGGGAAACTTGTATGTTGATGTTACATTGGATACTGTTTGCAAAACTGACTATTCATTTTCTCACGAGGCCCAGAGCTCCGATTACTATTGGTAGAGTGTCAGTCCTCATTCCCCACATCCTGTTAATCTCGATCTCCAGATTAACAATTTAAGATCAGATTGGGCAATTTCCCGATAAAGTTTAAGGAAGTGTTACTTTCAGATGGTACTGCTTTGTCAATAAGCAGACACTTCTTGAATTTCTTGTCTTTTATGATAATATTCTATTCGTCGGCATTTATTTTCCCTATCAGTTTGAATTGGCATGTTTCAGACAATAGTTTGGGTTAATGTTTTCTTGATGGTGCACGTACCATCTCTCATTGTTTGCGCTTTTGTCATTGTTGCATGCCTTCCAGTGCACACATGTCGCTACCTTTTTATATCTGGAGGTATATTCATTTTTTGATAGTTTCAGAAATCCTGAGTTTTCACGACAGTTTTATCATATTTTCCGCAAATATCGCATTTCGGGTTAGTTCCATCACTAATGATGTGACAGTGATAGGACCTGGTGTGGAGGCTTTGGTCTTGAGCTGCAGTAATTAGACATTCTGTCTCAGTCTTCAGTGCGGTGCTCCTCAGATGTGTTTTCTGTTTGTCCATATCAGCTTCTTTCGTAGCTATTTCCCATGCAACGCATCGTCCTCACAGCATTAAAAAATTATTTGGCACGTTGTTTTGCTGGTTTACCCGTTTGCTGCTGATAGTCCTAGCTCCAAATTTTGCTGGTAGGGTCTCCGGTATATTAACCTTTTTGTAATAGTGCAGATTCTTTGTTGTGGAGAGGATTTGGAGTTTTCTATCTGTAAGAGAGGTCATTGGTATTTGAGAGGTACGCTTCCGTTACGATGCTTGTAGATTTTACAGTTAGTTAAAGATTATGTTAGACTTCAGCCCCCTAAAGTTCTTGGTACATACAGTCTATCAATTATTGATTCCTCGTGGTACATCCTCATTTGGGAAAGCATTCTTCTTGTCTTGTCGTCCAATTTTTAATGTCATTCAACTTCTACATAATAATGTTGAAGCTGTATGCTAATGCAGGTGTTGATAGCCTTCATTTTATTGGTCCTAATAATTTCGCTTTCTAGTAAGAAGCACACTCTCCTATAATATATTTTTTTGATCTCTTCCTTCATAATTGAATGTTGTATTCCGTCTATCTCATTAATTAAGCATTTTTTTATGTACAATTTTGATGTACTTCCTTAATATTGTTGCTGATGTCACGGTCTAAATCTGTAGTTTTCGTTCATTTACCACCTTTAAACGTGGTTATTATTATTATTACTACTACTACTACTACTATTACTACTACTACTATTGTCGTAATAGAAGTTTTATTTTAGTTCTCATTACATGAAATATATTATTATTGTTACGCTAAAATTGAGAGAAGAGATTTTATTCTTTAATGTTGGAAGCAAAAGAATGCTTGTCCAATACTCAACAGAAATATAAGCACTCAGGATCGTATTATTCTAAGAATAAATGTGTCGTGTTGTTAATATTTGTTCAGAGTAGTTGTCGTCCGATTTAATCGGGCTGAGATAAAAAAAAAAAAATTAAAAAACAAAAATCCAACAAGCAGCTGTCAGGATTTATAGAAACAAACAACGGAACGTCTCACAATATTTACAGCATATATGAATATAAAATGCACAAGAAACTTATCTAATGACGTTTCTACTACAGCAAATACTATTTATCCGTGCGGTGCTATAAAAATGGCAGACTGTTCATTAATAATCAAGAAGCCGGTATCTGAAAAAAAAACAAAAAAACAATTGCTTGAGAAAGCGCAGTACAACATTAACTGGAATAATAATACACACACACATACACACACAAACACACACACACATATATATATATATATATATATATATATATATTAAAATATATGTATGTATATATATATATATATACATATATATATTTTCATATATATATATGTGTGTGTGTGTGTATATATATATATATATTAAAATATATATATAATATAATATAATATATAATATAATATATATAATATATATAATATATAATATAATATATATAATATATATAATATATAATATAATATGTGTGTATATATATATATATATTAAAATATATGTATGTATATATATATTTATACATATATATATTTTCATATATATATATATATATGTGTGTGTGTGTGTGTGTGTGTGTGTGTATGTATATATATATGCATGTATACATGCATTTAATTAAAGACAACGAGTTTCATCCTCTGTGAGATTTTTATCAGTTTTTGATAAAGTCCCAAACAGGATGACATGCGTTGGCTAAGAAAATTTTTGCTTTTCTTTTTACACGTATTGTATTTTTATAGATTTCCTGTTTACATTCATACTTATGCAAGTATCCTAAAAGTAATAATATATATTGACCGTAATTATACATATATATCTGCATACATACATATGATTACAGGCTAAGTAAGAAATTCTTCAAAAAGTAAATATTTCATATATAAAGTTACATATTTTAAAAAAGAAATACTACTTTCTCTCGCCAACATACATGAATATAAACCAATTTTAAAATTCTGAGAAACCTATTCAATACAAATTTTATATAATTCAATACCATACATATAGTTAATTGAACACTATTTAAATTTTACTACGACTAATGAAATGTAAGCTTACATATTAGCAAGAAGATAAAATAAAGATATTATTTTAAATGTGTATATATATATATATATATATATATATATATATATATATATATATAAATATATATATATATATATATATATATGTGTGTGTGTGTTTGTCGATATATGCATGTATGTACGTTTGGAGATAAAATGGTGAAAATTTTGCGTAGACTATATTAAAATAACAGCTCATTAGATATTACATGCAGAAAGTACTTTTTAAATGTTACTTATTACTCTTTCCTCACAATTACAAAATATGTTTTCATTGTATTCCAACTGGAGACGCTTAC